TTGTCATAGAGGAACCTGGTAACCTTCTTGCCACTAACAATCTCTAATAGCAGAACTCCAAAGCTAAAGACATCTGATTTCTCAGAAAATATCCCTCCCAATGCATACTCAGGAGACATATAGCCACTGAAATTTATTTGGATGATGGAACAAGCAAGTTAATATATTGACAATGTTTATCAATAGCTACTTGAATTGTTGAACCACCTAATTTCTTTATTCAACTTGTTTCCATAACTCTCCATTGGTGTGAGCTAAATCTATTTGTGCAAGGAGAAAAACTAAGGGTTACGGCTCAGCTTATTTGTATTTGTGCACTTTTTGTTGCCAATTTCTTAGGGTAATATTTAATTCATGAAGAATAATAGTTGAATATGTTCAAGAAGAAGAACTGTGCTTACAATGTTCCAACCACCTTGTGTGTCTTTGCCAGATTTTGTGTCCCTTCGAAGATCCTTGCCGATCCAAAATCTGAAATTTTTGGGTTCATTTTGTCATCTAATAGAATGTTGCCGACCTTCAAATCACGGTGTATAACCCTTAAACAAGAATCGCGATGGAGATAAAGGCCCACACGAGCAATCCCTTGGATGATGTTGAAACGTTCTGCCCAAGATAGTTCTGCTCTTTTTGTTGGATCTAATAAAATGCATTCACTGGAAACATGATTAACATTTACAATTCTCTTTTGAAGCAATATATCAAAAGTTATAAGCAGAATTCAGGCTAGCAAGATTACTAATCCTGCAAGCATAATTCTTAGAACAATATTCAACGCAAGGAAAAGATCACGATTTGATGGTTAGAAAGATGATATGATGAGATGAGATGTGATGTGATGCAACCATGGGAGAAAAGAAAATTTCTTTATGAAACCTACTAAAGAGATAATTATCCAAGCTTTTGTTGGCCAGGAATTCATAAATGAGTATCCTTTCTTCTCCTTCAACACAGCAACCAACTAGCCTAACAAGATTTCTGTGTTGTAGTTTCGAAATCAACCCGACTTCATTCTTGAACTCTTCTATGCCTTGTCCTGAGCTACTAGAGAGTCTCTTCACTGCTATATCTGTTCCATCGTATAGCTTTCCCTAACAAAAATCACAAATTCATCAAGCTGTGCTGTCTAGTTACCTTTGTAGAATTATAAAGCACTCTTTGAAAAAGACATATATTATTACTCACCTTATAAACTGGCCCATATCCTCCTTGCCCAAGTTTATTAGCCATGCTGAAGTTGTTGGTAGCAACTACTATGCTATCAAAATCAAACAAAGGTAGCTCCTGTGGCTCACCTTTTTTAACAATGCTTCTCAACGTTGATTCCAGAAAAATGTCCCGAGGACTTTCCCTTCTAGCATCTGGATCAAAGTTTTCCAAGGCTCTGTTTTTTTTCCCTGATTTTTCAGATTCAAGTAATGAATTCATCTATTCCAGGCCATGAAAGTAAAGAGCGTATAATAAAATCACAAAAAAGAAAGGCTATTGTATGTAACAATGTTTTTCTGACAAGAAAGTGATATAGGGCTTACTCTCATGGCTTTTAGCTCAAAAGTCATAAAGAAGCAATCGGTTGTTATCGCCTGACATATACTAAGTTAGGAATCTAGTCATCAAGAAAATTATTTCTAAAATTGATCTTTAGGACAGTTATTGTTTCCTACAAATATCCTAGAATTTCTATAGAAAAAGAATCTCGACCAAATGACTAGTTCATCCTGGATCTTGCTTTGGTAGGACCAGAGTGAATGGCATTCTATCCAAACACTGAGTGAAATTTTCCATTTATACAAACCAAAACAATGGAAAAAAGTAAATGTAAATGATGAAGTTAACCAATAGTTGGGAAGATTTAGGTGAAATGAAAATGTACACCTACATAAGTCCAAGCATCAAGATTCAAAATCAGCTTCTTACCATTTTTTTTTTTATCTCTGCCAGCATAAAACATAGACTAAGGCAGCCAAGATAATGATACAAGAAACTGTTGTGAGGCTGATAATGAGATCTACTCTTAGCTTCTTGTGAGCTAAAAATACTGAAGGGAGAAAATGAAGAGATAGAATAATGAAATGCATAAAGATGAATTAGTCGTTCTGAAGTGAAAAAAAATAATCGAGAAGAAACTAAATTCATTTTGAAAATATTGCTGAAGTCAATTTTATTGTCACCTAATTCTGATGACGCAAGACGAATAAAAAGATCTTCCCCACCACTGGAGAACTCTTGCATATCTATAAGGTCTTCACTCCACAGCAGACACCCTATGCCCATTACATATGCATAAGCCTTGCAAGTACAGTTATTCAAGCACCACTGTCCACATTCATTCACATCACTAACTTCTTGATACTTGGACTTATCTGGTAGCTTGATTCCATTCATTTTCCAAAACTTATCTGTTTCTTCACCCTGTGATGCTTCCAGACTTGTCCATGCCAAACAACTTAATTCAGTTCGTCTAACACACCCTCCTGTCCAATTATTTTTGTTCCATTCCTCATCTGACTTCGGTATAAATCCTTCAAGGCAGCTACAAACAGGAAATTTATATATTTTGCAGATCCCAAAAGGTCCACAAGTTCCATAGACTTCACATGTATTATTTGGTCCTGTCGCTTTCGAATACCAGCCTGTGTCTCTTCCCCAAATCATCATCTTTAGATATCCTTCGGATGAAATGACCATATTTGCAACCCTGTCCGTGGTGTTAAGATTCAAATAGAAATAACCGGTTCCTTGTTCAATATTCTGTACAAGGCTAAATACGCTTGAATATGTTGAAACCATACCTGGTAGCCCAATAAACAGTATTTTATTCCACTCCCCGCTTCTCCAGTAAGGCACTGATCCATTCCAAATAAAAGCTTGTGGTGGTGACCGCGGTACAATTTCAATGACGAAATCCCCACGTGATGGATCACTATTACTTTTCCAGGACGATAAAACACGTCTCTCACCTGTTTCAAGATCATACCCGATACCTGCACCAGGTAATAAAGTATTAACTGGGTGCTCAAAGCTTTTCCATAACTGCTGTCCAGATAAACCATCCTGTAGAACGAAGTTCCCATTATCCAAAAGGACAGCCACTGAACTATTTGATTGAACAGAAACGTTGTTTGACCAGAGAATTACTTCATTCCCATCTACAAGCTTCAGATTTCCATCACTACCAATCTTTAGACTTGCCAATGAATCAATAACTGGATTCTCTCTGTTGGCCACCCAAACAATTGTGCGAGGAGCAATGTTTTTATACCATATACCAACATACTGATTAGTGGAATTATCAGGACGAAAGAAGCCTAACTCAAAAACTTGGGCAGGGGAGATAAGGGTTTCATTTTGTGATAATGGATTGGATGAAGTTATATTATAAGTTACAGCATAGCAGTGCAAAAGAAACAATTTCAAAAAGATGAAGATGGAAGATAATAAAATGCTAAAGTTTTGGTTCTCTGTAAGCATGTTCTTCTGGAGATTGTTTGCTCATAAAATCAGAGATGTCGGGATAAGTCTGTAAGAGCAAGTGGATAATTAATATATTCATTTTATTCTAGGAAAAGGATTTCCAGATTTATTTGAACTTTCAGGAGAAAAGAAAATAAAAAAAACTTCTAAAATTACAAGTCAATATCTACTAACTTTGCAAATAAATTCAAAGAAGAATGATTAAACCTTTAATTTGGTTTCTTAATTATTGTACAGACTTCAAGTTGTTCTCCTAACTAAAAAAAATCTTGATTTTGTCCTTAGGTTTGAAATTTTAACCCTATCTTAAGGTAAAATCCTCAAATGTGCCCTTAAAATAAGGTGATAGGGATAACTCCTCACTCCAAAACATCAAGGACAAATGTCACCCCAAAATCATTGACAAATACTAATCAAAGCATATTTAACTGCTGATGTCATGTTACGTCAGCTTTCCTTTAACCATGTGCTGAGGTGGATTTTTTTTAAACATGCTGGAGGTATTTTGATGATATGGATGCTAACTTGGTCCTATTTTTGCTCATTTTAATCTTATCTGGTACTTTCTACCATTTTTTATATTTATTATCAAAATCTAATATAAAAATAAATTAAAAAACAAAATTACAAAAATGCCCTTCTACTTCTTCTTCCCCCTCTTCCCTCGATTCTCTCCTCTTCCTTCACTAGATTCTTGATCCTGGCAAGAATATGGCAAGATCAAGGAGAGCTCGTCGCTGGTAGATTGGGGCTTGAGCTCGTCGTTGGTGATTCAATTAACCATGGATTTGAAGCCCAATTTATCAAGGAAGAGTTGTTGAATCTGCAGAAAATCAATGGATTGGCCATGCTAAGAGCCTCCAGTGACCTCCTCGTCAAGAACCACAATATTATTACAATCCCAGATGTGTCCCACCGTGGACCCACGAGTTCTCCATCTAAGAGCCATGTGGTTGGTGGGCTAGGTTCTTAGAATCCAGATCTGAATTCTGGGTATATTCATGGGTACTGAAGAAGAGAAAGAGAAGGAAGAAGAGCAAGGAAAGGAAGAAAGAAGAGAAAAAGGAAAGAGAAATGAGAATAAAGAGGAAGAACAAATGGTATGCCCATGCAATACTAATTATGTTTGGTTGATGTTGATTGTAGGAGAAACTTGATACACATTCAATTGATCTTGATTCTTAAGCTTTTTGTCTATTTATTCAATCAATTGTTGAAAAATAGAAAATTTTGGCCAATTTTTTTGGAGTTGCAGAGTGTTGGGGGGTAGGGGATGCAAAATGGTTGAAGACGATGAGCACTTTTTATTTTGTTTTTCATATATTGAGGTTGATTTTGTTGGGGTTTTGGTCGGTTTTCATGGTCTCAAGCTTCTTTGTAGCCTTGTCAATGAAGGGTTTGAAGGACTTGCAGGAATTGGTGAGGTAGATGAGGATCTAGGAGATGAACAGCAATGCAGATGGAGATTCCAACAACGGTGAGGCTGTCGGAATATTTGAAGGGGGAGAGGAGTTAATCCAAGATGGGAGAATGCCACATTGTTAAAAAAAGAAAGAAA